ACAGTAGAGAGGCTTGCTAATCGACAGGACACTACTCCCTCCACCGCCTCCTCCATTACGGCCTCTCAGATCACCCTTAAGGAGGAACCAAACCCGACTTCTTCGCCATCCCTTAAGGAGGAACCCAACCTGACTTCTTCGCCATCTGCTGTGGTAACAACAGAGGTCGGAGGAACTGTTGCCGTCCCAGTCACGAATGGGGAACCCGGTTGGCGGGCTGTCTTTCCATCAGAATCTGAGGTCTACGAGGTGCCCAGGTACTCTGGGGAGGAAAATGAGTACGAAGTGGCCCGCCCTGAACCCTCACTCGTATGTGCACACCATGGTGTTCCCCCTTCCCTTCGTCTGGTCCCTTATTTTCTTATTTAGAAAGGAACCTATGCACTTCTTAGGCCGCGATACTCTTTGGGTAATGAGCAAAATGGGCCTCTCATGTTGGGCTAACAGCAGCTTCAGGAGGCTGTGAAGCCGCATAATTGTCTCCGGGCCTGTTGAATGCTTCCAGTAATTCAGGCTCGTTGTTTGGCACCTAGTTATATGATCCCTAATGATAAAAAACACACAAAGGTTACTTCAACAGTTAGTTCTAAGTAGATTGGAAAAATAATAGCACCAGCTGCACATAGCATTTCCCTCAGATCCGTAAGGAAATTGAGAGAGGCAATTGGTAGATGACACGGTGATTACTCGTCTAAGGTTCATGCCCAAACAACTAGAGTACGCACTGCAACTAATGGGAAATGGCCTACTTTGCGAATTATTGACAACCACTCCAAAACTGGCGTTAACTCATGTATGAAAACTTTGACATAATAATCAACAGTCTTAAGTAAATTTAGAAGAATTATAAGAGTACTAATTGTTTGTGTATAAATGTCAAAGTTTTTAAAAGAAGCCTCAAGTCTTAAAAATGCGAAGTGGGCATGTAAACTTGCATAGACAAAACGCAGAACAACTGTGGTACGTTGTTCAACCAGAAGACCAAGCTTAAGGCTGCCCCCTAGTTCTTTCGGGATATCTGCTAAAGTACATCGAACGCGTTTTCTGCAGTTCATCTATTCAAATTTTGCCTTATTAATAAAATCCGCCCCTAACACTGTTTGGGAAACAAACACTGCGAACGTGTTTCGCAGGGGGAGGCATCGTCACAATTACATCCGGCGAGTAATATGACAGCTGGTGACGTTAAACAAAGGTAGACGCCGTTTGACTGACAGACGGTTCTTTCGTCCATCGCGAACTACCCTATCCATCGTGTGCCCTATATCGCGTCGGATGCAGAATGGTGACTTGCGCGTGAATTGGTTTACAGTAATAGCCGCATCTGCCGCATTCTCTTTGCTCTCCTCCTCCCCCCCCCCACTAGGTCCGGTGGCCGGCGCAAACACAGTAGTTGACAACGCTAACTATTCCGTCTACGCCTGCCACATAAGAACGTGTACCCGCACAGTGGACCGGGTTGTCCTAGAAATAAAAAAAGTGCAAAATTCCCATCAAAAAATTCAGAAGAATATCTGGCGAGCACACGCAGCTTTCGATAAATTCTCTTCGGACCATTACATTTATATAGGGAGGGGTAAAAAGTAACATGCTGGCAATTATGTTCATCTGTACAAGCAAATTAGTCATGGGAAAAGGGGATGGGGGTGAGGTTGACAGTACTCGGCTGGTTGCGAGGCGATGAAGATTTGTCGAATCCGGACAGGGGGAGAAAGCGTGGAAAGATGCAGGCAGTTATGTAACCGTTGGCCATGCCAAGCTGGGGGGCTTGCAGGAGGTTCTTTTGCGCACACAACACCGGCTTCCTCAACCTGATAGCAGTTGCTTCTGCTGTTGCTAGCAAACGCTGACCCAGAGACTTTAGTTAGCTTGGTGGGACCTTATAAATTACCTTAAAGGTTTCACTGGGGTCTACATGATGTCCGTAGTCAAACATATGGGCAAGGATGGAGATGTTGAGGGTTCTGACTTCACCTTTGGCCAGCCATGCAGGGAGGTGCTCCCATATTCTTTAGGATAAGTGTCGACTCGTGCGACCGGTATAACCTGCTCCACAGGAGCAAGTAAATGAGTAGGTGCACATGAAAGGGGTCTGAACTGGCAGCCTATCCTTACCTTCGCTGTGCAGGACCGGGTTGGTTGAGAATAACATCCGAACTTTTGTTGCTGGGATGGTTTGTGATACGGCTTGGTTGAGGCGCCTGCATAGGAGTTCGCCTGCTGCAT